ACCCTTCCCCAAATCATCAGACAGCTTTTTTAAACTGTGTGTGCAGAATGCAGACTGTAGCTAAAAGGGCTGGCAGGGAAAGAAAAGGTCAGTAGAAACTATACAATAGACATAAAACAGATTGTAGCAAGAGTTTAAAATAATAGCTATATGGCAGGGTTTCATATAAAATAAAGCTTTCAGGAGACCATAATTCTGTATTACCCAATGAGTCAGAAGAGGCTACTAACCTACCTTGGCCATACTTTCACTATCCAGTAAGAACGAATTTATCTTTTTATTTTGCACAGTGCCGGTTCCATCCTTGCAACCCTGAACTAAGAGGATTATCTGAATCATATTTTTTTATTATGTTTTTGCTGTAGTTCTTATAATAATATAAAAATACAAAGGAAGACCATATAAGAACAGATATGCTTCCTATAGCCTTTCTGGTGTGAGCATAAATGTGCAGTCCTTGATCCCATGAAGCCGTCAGGAGATGGTGAGATATGTTTATGATGTGTAATGCAAACCAAAGAAGGCCATCTCTCCCTGCATCATCCTAAAAAACAGTGCTAGTTCCACATGTTGGTTTGTTTCTAACAGTGGTGAATTTCAGGAATATGATTTTATACCATGGGAGTAAATTGGATTTCCCACTGTGCTCAACTTGAAATTTTTTACTGGAAGAGAATGACAGCAATACAAGAACAATTCCATTTCTTAGAGTTAATGGTGTCATTACTTTTTGTCCAAACATAAAAGCTTCTTAGAGGCATCCACTTCCAGTAGTGTGCACATCCAAAAATAGCCATTCTGAGTGAATTCAAAGGCTCACTAAGCCACTGGCATAAACCACAGTGGCAGTAAATGCCTAAAGAAAAGTATAGAAAAGCATAAGAAGGTTGAATAATTCTGGTATTTCCTGAGCTAGGGATGACCTCTTCTGAGAGACCTTACAAGAATGGTACCTATCTCTAACACTTGTTTCAGGGATGTCACTCAACAGTCATGCTCTCACATGCATCTCTATTTTGGCTGTGACTTTCACTCGAGGAAAAGAGAGCCACAGAGAGGACAGGTATTTTAAAATGAAAGGACCACTTAGCATTCCATTGGATTAATAGGAAGATGTGGAATAAATAAAATGGACCAAGATGCTTAAGAATTTGTCCTCGCTTCTTTGCCTGTCCTCTACAATGTCATATTTATCAAGGCAGTGGCATGTGGGCTGGGAATCAGGCAATGATATCTTGAAGTTGCTTCATCTCTCTTTACCTGAGACTGTTCATCTGAGTTTATCAAACTGTTTACTTTCTTATTTAAATACTATGAAATAGATAAATGAATATTGTAAATAAACAATAATTATTTTAAAATAAAGAAAATATTTTGTTTATAACCTTGCTATTTTTTTGTATTAAAGCATAAATAAGGATCATTTTTTATTACTCTGTCTAAGTTGTGAAGGTGTAATGCAGTAGTGCCTTAAAGACTTTAAAAAAAAAATCTGATCTGAATGTTATAAAATTTCACTATTTTTAGAGAAGTTAAGGCAAATTGTAGGAAATAGAGTCTTCTGGCAAGTTGGGTCAATTTCCTCCACCAATCACCTATCTTCCACCAAAAAGAAAGGTAGATGTCATAGGAAGAAGGACTACACCTTACTCTATAATTCAGGAAATAAATATCTAGATGATACCAGCTGTAAAAAGCAGGAGATGAAAGATCCATGTCTGAAATTAATTTTGATACAAAATTGATTATAGCTGTAGGGAATTATCTTCTATTTCTGCTAGTTGTAAGGAAGGGACATTTTTTTCGGACTGACACAGAAAATATCTTTGTCCTTAGCTATATCAAATATTGACCTTTCTCTTTATTTTTTCTTTTTTCCTTCAATTTACTTATTTAACTCATACAAGCAAATTCATGACAATTTTTTATTACTCAAAGATAACCCTCTACAGCTTTTAGTTGTTAATGATTGTTTCCTCACTTATAATAGTAATGAAGCTTTTGATTCAATATTTGACTCTGTATCCCAGCACCTCTCCATCTGAAGTTTTTGATCTTTTCTTCACATTTATGATAGGTGCTGGAACTTATGGATCTTTAAGGTCCTGTTCAACCAAAGCCATTCTGTATCTCCATTTTCCATTATGCCTACACAGATGGTTTGCCAGACTTATGAAATATTGTTGTCACTGAGATACTCAAAGCTAATAATTGTCCAGGAGATTTCAGTACCCAGCTCATCCTAAAACATTATGGATATTCCCTGGATTTCCAACGTGTTCTGGATTTTTTGTTTTAAGCAAAAATGCTGAGAAGAGTTATGCCTATTTTAAATTTCATGTTTGGTTTTCCCATAAGTAGAGAAGGAAGTAGGAATATATAAAATTTGAATTTTGATTTGAAATGTCCTGTTTTATCTAATAGACAGACAAATCACTTTATCTTCCAGTCAGTTTAGCTTCTTTTCTCTGATTCATAGGCTGTCTATAACTGCTCAGGGATTTGTTATTAAGCTGTAATAAGAAGTCCTGCCTAAATTTTTCTTTAAAATACCTCAAGCAAGTAATAATCAATTTTTTTTCAATTTGCACTAGAAATCTGTTTTTTTCTTTATATTTGATTGCAGTACCTTTGCCTCACCCAAGCTTTTCTGCCTTCTCAGTGTACTTTACCTAAGGCAATTTTCTAATTTTTCTCATTACAGCTGTTACTTTCACACCAGGATTATTAGTAAAATACCTTATGCTTCCCCTTATATTGCATCAAAGACCATCATTTCTTTTCAGGGGTAATTTGTTCTCTTTGTCTTGTGTCCTTTCCCCCTAAGGAATAATATTTTGCAGAACCTGAGACTTCCGCATAATTAGATCATACAAAACATCCGCTATTCTGTCTCCCACTAAGACAAGAGGACCTTAAGGTTTAAATTACTTCCATACATCCTCACTGTGGAAGATAAATTATATTCCTTTTGTTTGGTCTCATTAAAGTTCAATTTCATCCGCTTCCCTAACACATTTCACATAGATTCTCTTGATCTGACTTTTTCAAAGCCTAGACATCTTCTCCCTGGTAGCAAACATACCTTGATTTAATGGCATCTTTAAGCTCTGTCTGCATTTCCCTTGAACAAAAGTCACAGCAAAAGAGTAACATTATATTCACAGAATCACAGAACAGTCTGAGTTGGAAGGGACCCACAAGGGCCATCGAGTCACTCTTAAGTGATATTGTCAATATACTCCTGAGGAAAGTAAGTGAACCACACCCTGTTCTAATAAATGTACCACCGATCAAAATACCTTCTTCAATAACATAATATTTTCTTTTACCCAAGCTACCAGAAACTGAGGGGACAGGGTGGGGTTTTTTTGTGTGTATGAAAATGCATATAAATATATGTAAATTATAAGCGAATGTGTTACGGTGAAAAATTAATTCCTAAGGTGAAAATCCAACTTTTGCTTTGGAAAAATCACACCACTGCAAACCTTATGTCACGTTTTCAATAAAGTTTCAAAGTTCTACAGAAGGCCAAACTGAGGCCAAACCAAAGTTAGCTGAACTGGTCTGTTTCACATTGTCAGAAATATACACTAATTCCAAGTCCTATTCTGCAAAGAAAAGTAACCACTTTTTGTAGTATGTACCTTAGAAATATGTACTTGCAATGTATAAATACATATTTATACCACATATACAACATGAAGAATCAATATCTATATCTATCTATATCTATATCTATATATCTATATATATGTCACATATAATAAATCATCATGGATACAGTTTTAAGCCTATGGAAATGTTTCAACACTCTGCTTCTTTCTCCTCTTAAAATACATTTACTAAACTACAAAACTGCTGGATGATTAGATAGCATTCTAATTAAAAGAAATTGTATTTTTAAAGTGAGGTATCCATTGAAATTTTTTGTGCCAATGGAAAACAATGACAAGAGATCACTGGAGTCACACAGAGTGTTTCTAAAATGAAGAATGCTTCATGCAGAATTTTAAACTCATGATCCACTCAGGGAAATTTACAAATTGAAGTACAGTATCATACCTAACTAAACTAAAATACTCATAGCCAATTATATGATTAACACTTAGTTTAACATTACAATTAAATAGCATGTAACTGAACCGTATTGAGTGGAATATAGTTCTAAGAATTACTTTTAAAATCATATCAAATCATAAGCAGAATGACCACCATTTAAAAAAGATGTAAAACCTCTTCCTGTTTCTAGTGCATGTAAGTTCAAGTCTGCTATGTGGTAATAAAGAAACAGGATGAGGAACTGATTTTTTCTCAGTATGATTAGCATTGGGAAATACCAATTCGAGGTATGTAGAAATTTCACTGCTATTCCATTTCTGTTCCAAAGGTTAAAGGTGTAAAAAAATACCCAAAACAAACAGAAAAAAAGCAGGTAAGCAAGTTGTGTGGAAACTGTGGAAAAAGAAGTTCTTTCCCTACCAGAGCTTTTCCAGGCTTTCAATGTTTCAGTGTTGCTTCCAAGATGCTGCAATCCCTTGCCATGCTTGTCTTCTGTACTTCATTTTTCCCTCTGACCTCTCCCCTTTGTTATATTCCTCTAGGCCAAATCAGTCCTTCCTCTTATATTCCCTATGCTCTCTCCACAGCTCTATGGGGCTCTATGTATCTAGCTCTGTGGGGGCCTCAAAGTTTAAGTTTAGATTAATTTTATATTATATATATACACATTTTTATATTCAAATCAGACTTACGAAAATCATTCACCACAACATTCAAAGACACCCAATATTAATAGAGTCCTCAGCCAGCATAACTGCTTAAGTACAAAGATGGGTTATCATATGTGTAATTTTCTAGCTACCTTCATTTCCATTAAAGCAGTTGAGAGTTTGAAATCATTTGGCTGCCTGCCTTTGCAGGAGGCAGATCTGGAGAAAAAGAATAAAAGCAATGCAGAGAGAGATCAAGGAGAATGATCAGAGGAAAGGACTCACCTCTTTTAGTCAGTTTTCCATTTTAGTTGTTCCAATAGTTAAAGAGGGAAGAGATTTTTTGCACACTCTTTAATTCAGATGTCAGTTCCAATACTTGATGCTTGACTGTTCTGAAAAACAATCAAAGTGTAGGAGTTAAAACTACTAGCCTGAAACAAGATAAAATCATTAACATGGCAAGGATCTATGCATTCATTAAAAAATCACAGCAATGTTGAGATGTTTTATAACAATGCTCCGTGGCAAGGTTTTTCACATCCTTCCATGCTCTCCTTCTTGAGCAAAAAAGGAATATTTTGATTTCATAATGCTACATTTGTGGTGCCATCTCAACCTTCCAACCCTCCCTGCACAATGCATGAAGCGTTTTTTGGTTCTTTTACCAAAGGATATGAAGACTAGTTACATGTGATTGCCTCAGGAAATCTCCTCAAGCTCACCTCTCCCCCACTCACCCCCTTTCACAGCCTTTTCTCACTCTGCATAAACACCATGGAATCCTGCTGCTTGTGTCTGGAAAAGCAGAGGAGATTGGTGAGAAAACCTGAAGCACCCAGCTTTATACATGGTTCTTTCCCCACCAGCATTCTATGGGTAGTGGACAAAATTGCAGTGGGAAATCACTGCATGTTAAAATATATGGTTTTTAAAAATTATATAAACTGAAAATACTTATTTAAAAGCCACTTTATCTGTCTTGTAAGGAAAATTACATACACGTTTTCCCCCTCTTATTTCTCCAGTACTACTTACTGAGACTAACAGAAGTAAATGGCTTTCCTCTGTGTTCTATATTTGTTCTCTATGAGTCATCTCACTATTTAAGTGTTGTTTCTCAGCACCTAAAGGTCTAGCTATATTATTCTGTCTTTTTTCATGTGAACAATTTGAAAGTACAAGCCAGAATAAGTACGACTATTTTTTCTTATAAATGTAGTTAGCATCTCATATCAAACTTCACTGTAAAGCATATTAGAAGAAAAAAAAATTCACAGCTAAGGGTGCTTTGATACTAGCCTTGGACTATACTGAAGATTTATCACTACAATAACTTTTTTGATGTGTTCTTAAGTTATTTTAATCTCTTGATGTTCATTCAAAGAAATACCTTTCCTCATCATATTTAACTATTGGGGGTTAGTTGTCAGAAAAAACAAGTAAAAATTTTCAGAGCAAAAATAACTGGAAAATATTACAAACACATGCTTATAAAACTAGAAGAGAGTAACCCATCAGTCTGATGTTCCACTCCCCACAGGCTACAAACCATCCACAAATTAATTTCTTTGGAAGTGGGATGCACATCTTAGTAAAACATTGAGATTTGGATTGAAATTCTCTGGAGTAACCACTAAGAGGACAGAAATTGCCTCTGTACAAAAGAGGTCATTATTCCAGGGAATTACTTGACCTCTAAAGCAGTCAAGCAGAGGATGGCTGCAGCCTCCTCTTTGTTACCTTTGTATTTTCTGTGAGACCCATTTCCAAGATAAACAAAATTCTGACACTGCTTCAGAGTTCCTGACATTGATGTCAGGATAGAAACACATTCCACTGGTACTCCAATGACAGCACTTTGTGCAGAGCTGTCTTTGAGGACCTGCCTCTCCCTTGAGGTATTTGAGAAATACACTATCTTTAGTGTATTTCTTCTTAATTCTTAAACAAAATTCCCAGTTCTTCTCTACAGTTTGTCTTCTTTGGTTGGTTGTGCAGATTTTTTTGCCAGAAGTGGGAGAAAACAATATGCTCAAAGTAGGAAAATGAGATGATAAAACTATCAGAATGTTATTGGGCTCAAGAGATGGGTACAAAACTAGAAACTGCTTTTAAATTATTTCAGAAATGCACAGATTTCCTGTTGACAGGATCTCTTTTCAGGAAGGCTTTAATTTGCCTATAATATTGAATAAATACATCATAAGCATTTCAGATTTTCTGTGAGAGTATAAAATTGACAGAGTGTATTTCATTGTAACAAGTAAACTGGATTGATTTTTCCTTATAACATCTCCTTAGGGAGCTTACAAACATAAATCTCTAAAGGAACAAATCCTCCATGTCTTTAGGAGGAGCTTTGAGTTGTAACAACTTCTCTGAACCTATTGAAACTTCCATACTTGAAGATTTGGTTGAGAACCTTGCTGAAGCTGGGCTCAGATAGATTTCTCTTAGCTGACAGAATTCACGTGGATGAGAAATTTTAACATGTCAAATGTATTTAGTGATGACAGAGACACCAAAGGGAGGCAATGTAAAGGTATCACCTTAACACAAGTGTTAAGCACACTGTAAGTTACTGCCTGAAGTGTAAAAAAGATAAAATTTGAAAGTAACTTTCTGCAAACATCTAAGTGCTTATGACAGAGTTTTCAGAGATGGCTATAGACTAATGTGCTTCAGACTCAGTACAAACACATGGTACTAACCATGCCAACAGCCCAAACTAAATCAGCATTAGCTTAATAGTTTTAAAATTTCTTTAATTCTTCATCTGTTTTGCTTTTGGTCTTTCTTATTTGTGCATGTCTATGCACATTAGCCTTCTCTCACCACTCTCCCTATTTTTTATTTAATCACAGAGGTACAACCAGAAAAGGTTCACAAAAAAGCAGGATGATGATGGAGCATGCAGAATGACTTCTGCAAGAGGGACAAAACACCAGGGTAACATTATAGAAAAACTGAAAAATTAATCATGGAAGATTATGAAAACAACCATAGGACATCAAATCAAGCTGATTAGGAGTCACATCACAAAAAGAAAGAAGCTGAACAAATGAACAAAGAGAGGTGACCCTTTCTGCAAAGTACAGTTGTACTGTGGGACTCCTGCCACAGTAGGTCATGAAGATCAAATCATGCCTTCAAGAGAAGTTAGGAAAAGTGTGGAAAAATTAAGTTTCCTCAATTTAGGTAACTAGAAATGTTTAGAATCATGCAGCTCAGAAAGACCCAAATTTCAAGACATAAGGAGGGTAAGAGAATATGTTTGACTTGTTCATATATTCTTTCTTTTGATCTCCAGTGCATGAAACAGGGCATGGGACAAAAATACTTTTGAGCTTGATGGTCATTTTAATAATTTCTTTGTGTTTTTAGATAGATTTTGTTAAAAAGAAATCTGGAAGAAAGTGTGGCAAAGAACAGGAGCAAAGACTAACCCAGAACAGTGCCTAGGTGCCTAGGGAGGCTGTGGCATCTCCATCCTGAGCGATACCAAACAATCAGCTGAACAACACCCTCCACAACTTGATAACTGCCTATAATTCCTTACTAGGTAAATGATTCTGTGAATCTGTGAGTCTGAGAAACAGGCTCTAATCACGTCCCTGTACCATTCCTTCACAGAACAGCAATTCGCAGTGTGACCATTATCATTAAACCAAATTTCAGTGGGGAAATGAATGGTAGGTCTTCAAGTGTTTTATTACGTACTAAACTATTTGATTTCTCTTCTACATGATGCTTCTTTACGCTCCCGAGGTCTGTTTGTATGCATAATTTGTAATTAATGATACACACAGTAAAGGAAGTGAACGGAATTTTTACCTGTTGTAATTTTTTTATTTTTCATCACTTAAATTTTATTAAAGTAATTCACAATGAAAGTGGATGAGTATCCATTTTTGTGTACACATTATCAAGATACTGACCTACATTAACAACCCAAATCTGTTCCATTACAAAGGTGTACTTAGAGGGGCTTTATATACACTGCAACCTTTCAATGAGGGTGAGTCACCTAAGGTGACAAATGGCAGATAACTCTGATGTTCAGAAGAGGCCTCTTTCAGATGATGACTTAGTGCATATTAAGCCATTAGCAACAACAATTTTTTTTTTACTTTTTAGGCACTGGGCAGGAACCTCATCTATTTTCTTTCCAAATTAAAGCAAAATAATAATAATTATAGAAATTAGGACTGCCTAGTAACTACATGCAAATGAACTTCTAAAAATTTAATTACAACCTCACTAGTGTAGTAGTAATGGGAATACCACAAAGCTTAGCAATGAGCAGAAAACTCAGTCTTCTTCCTGTAAAGCCAAGACTGCAATATCACACACATTTATTGAACCTCATTTGTAAAATTAAGAGTCTCCCTCAGACAATTAAAAATCATGCTGAGTACTCAGCCACAGTAAATTACAAATATAATTAAGTAAATAATAAGAAAGCCCAAGTCCCTACTTAAATGCACTGCCAATTCAGCTAATCCAAGCACAGCAAATATTAATGCAATACTTCAATGTCTACAGCTCAGCTCCTGATCTACAGTAATAATAACACATTAAGATTTTGTTCATACTCAGAACAAACCACTTATTTTCCCCAAGACAACTGCAGCACCAGGTTGCCAATAATAAGCTGCTCATATCTTCCATCATCCTGCTCCAGAAGGCAGGCTGAGAAGATGAGCACTTTTAGCCTGATTGCATTTACCACCAATTATATAGACACAGTCTTTTGACCATTCTTCACTTTAAACTGAAAATAAGATAACCTGAAGGATTAAAATCAATGCCAATTAAAGGGATCTGCAAAGTGTGGTTTTTAATTACGCTGCTTTAGTAAGTCACTACACAATCACTATTTGCATTCCATTGTTTCTGCATACAAAGCACAAAAAAATTACATCTTGGAAAAGCCTTCTGATTTTAGCAGCTGGCACACCAATGAGAAAAAGTTTGAAGTTTTGTATTAGCGATAAGCGCTATGCAAGAAATGAAATGTGTCTAAAATTATGCTGACAGCACATGTCACTTGCCAACAATGTACACTAGCATTGATATGAGCTGCTGTTTACAAGCTCACAAAGAAAGGATTAAATAAAATTTAATTAATTCAAACTTAAATATGTGTTTTTACCACTATACAGCAGTGTGTGAATGGCAGACATTTCACTGTCTCACTGCAGTTGTATTATTCTCAGCCTAACCTCATAAATATTAATTGCTTTTGAAACTGAGTTATAAGTCTGCACATGAGATAAAGGAAAAATCCCAAGCATAGGCTTTCCCTCAACATCAATCCACAGGAGGAATAAAATATTCTTTATGAAATGTTCCTGCATCAGCACCAGTGGGAAGTTCCGCAGTCTATTCT